TATAGCTCCCATATATATTTTCGTCCGATTTAATGTAAAAGGTGTACCAGAGTCTCAATATATCTTTGGATTTGCACGAAATTTGGCACAGCGTGCTGAATTAAGTCTGGAATGATGTGTGGAAGGTTTCGTGAATATCGGTTCAGATTTAGATATAGTCATCTTCCGATTTAAGCTATTTGGTGCACCGAAGATCCTATATATCTTTCGATTTGCACGAAATTTGGCATAGCGTACTGAATAGCGTCTATAATATCGGTTCAGTTTTAGATATAGCTCCCATATATATCATCGTCAGATTTAAGGTAAATGGTCCACTAATGTTTCTGGAAATCGTTTGATTTGCACGAATTTTGGCATAGCGTACCGAATTAAGTCTATAATGTGTGTGTTGAGTTTCGAGAACGACGTTATATATTTTTTTAATTGGTACAGATGCAGACACATGTTCCATATATAATACAAACGGGTATTCAATTTCATGTCAATGTTATTTCCAAATGGCGGATTCTGTTAGGAGACATATGTAGAATACTAGCAAAGTACCCGCTACTTCGTATGCGGAAAGGGAATAAAAAAATATTTTATATGGAGATCGTGAATACCGTATAAATATTTGTACTATAGTTCTGAATTCCACCTCTATTCCTACATTTAATATCGAGTTTATTACCATTAAGTACTCTTCATACACATAAGCACTACTTTCCGAAATCCACACTTTAGCAAAAACGTACAGGTTCCACATGTAATTCCATTTAGAATTTTTCGAACACATAATTATACATTTTCAAGACTACCTCTATACCGTCACCTCCACTAAATTTAGTACCAAAAACCCTTTGGTCTTTCTTTGTAACTCTCTGTAAATGACCATCATTCTAAATTTTATTTTTCCAGCTCTCTCCGTTACCAAAATTCAAATTATTCCAAATTTAGTGAATTTTCTATTCTACTTATTATTGGTACACATAAATTCGAGTTCCCAAAGTTGTCTTCATAGCTCAATACTACACTTCAACAGTAATCTAAGTTCCAAATCTCAAGATTCAATCAAATACAAATTGTTTTAAATTTAGTACCATTTAGTAATTCTCATACTCATAGGTAAGAATTTCTAAAACTACATCAATCCTACACTCTAAAAGTAATCTTACTTCCACCAAAGTCCAAATTGTTCCAAATTTAGTGATTTTCGTACTCATAAGTACAAATTTTCAAATGTACCTCAATCCTTCTTTCAAATAGTCCAAATTTAAGAATTTCAGCTCTGTGTGAAACCATTCCGCACTTTTCGTACCCACATACCAAACCAATCTCAATATTCCAAACCTGCTTTCAATCATAAGTCCAAATATAAGAATTTCAGCTCTATCTGTTCAATAAACTGTACCATATTTGGCACCATTCTGTACTTTTCCTACACTCCCAAAGTAACCTAAGTTGCAACTTTCAGGATTCGAGTTCTACCCGTTCACCAAAGTCCAAATTGTACCAAATTTTTTGGTTGTCGTACCTAAATTAAAAATGTCCAAGAATACCTTAGTCATGCACTCCAATAACAACCTTAGGTCCACATTTAAAGATTCCAGCTCTATTCGTTCACCAACATCCAAATTGTACCATTTATTACTTTTCGTAGACGTAAGTAGGAGTTTCTAAAACTGCCTCGATTTCCCACTGAAACAGTAATTTTATTCATTAATTTCAGGATAACAGCACTATCTCTTCACTTAGATCCAAATTGTACCATATTTAGTACTTTTCGTACTCATGATTTCGAATTTCCAACACTGTCTCAATTCTTTGCTATAAGAGTAATTTTTTTTCAAATCATTCCATCTCTATCCTTTCATTCAAATCTAAATTGTACTAAACTTAGCACCATTTAGTACAGATAATTACAAATTTTTAAAACTACCTCATCCTACACTCCAACCTTATTTTTAATTTAGTACCATTTAGTACTTTTCGTACAAATAAGTACGATTTTTTAAAGCTAATTCCGATTATCAAGATTCCATCTCTACACACTCAACTGAAGGTAAATAGTAGGGAATTTAGTACCATTTTACACTTTTTATACACATAAATACGAATGTCTTAAACCATTTCCGTACATCAACACCACTTCCCAACCTGTATTCCATTTAAAATGTCAAGATTCCACCTATATATGTTCAATATATACCATAGGAACTAAATTCAGTAAAGTTTAGTACCTTTAGTAAACTTATAGGTCGAATTTCCAAAAACCCTTTTGCACATCTTTCTAACTTTCCATCAGTGGCCAACATTGCAAATTTCAGAATTCTAGCTCTTCCCGTTCGCTAATAAAAAGGGTACCATATTTGGTACATTTTAGTACTTTTCGTACCCTTCTACTTCAAACAAAACTTCCCTCATACCCCGATGCTACAACCCCATAATGTTTCCAAATTAAAATTTAGTACACAGTAGTACGAATTTAAAATACTTCTTACTAATCCCACACCCCCACAGTTATCCTAAATCCAAGTTTCAGATTTCCAACTCTATCGGTTCATCCACAATTCAATTTGTACCAAATTTAGTACACTGTAGTACGAATTTCCAAAACTTCCTACTTAACCCAAACCTAAACCCCACAGTGATCCTAATTCCAAGTTTCAGAATTCCAACGCTATCGGTTCACTCACAATCCAAATTGTACCAAATTTAGTACACAGTAGTATGAATTTCCAAAACCTCCAACTTACCCTAACCCTACAACCCCACAGTGACCCTAAATCCAAGTTTCAGGATTACAACTCTATCGGTTCACTCACAATTCAAATTGTACCAAATTTAGTACACAGTAGTATGAATTTCCAAAACTTCCTACAGACCCCAATCCTACACCCCCAGAGTGATCCTATATCCAAGTTTCAGGATTCCAGCTCTATCGATTCACCCTCAATTCAAATTGTACAAAATTTAGTACATAGTAGTACCAATTTCCAAAACTCCCTACACACCCCCACAGTGATCCTAAATCCAAGTTTCAGGATTCCAACTCTATCGGTTCATCCACAATTCAATTTGTACCAAATTTAGTACACAGTAGTATGAATTTCTAAAACTTCCTACATACCCCAATCCTACACCACCACAGTGATCCTAACTCAAAGTTTCAGGATTCCAGCTCTATCGGTTCACCCACAATTCAAATTGTACCAAAATTAGTACATAGTAGTACAAATTTCCAAAACTTCCTAAATACCCCAATCCTACATTCCACAATGATCCTAAATCCAAGTTTCAGGATTCCAACTCTATCGGTTCACCTACAGTTCAAATTGTACGATATTTAGTACACAGTAGTACGAATTTCGAAAACTTCTTACTTACCCCAAACAGAGATGCTAAATCCAAGTTTCAGGATTACAACTCTTTCGGTTCACTCACAATTCAAATTGTACCAAATTTAGTACACAGTAGTACGAATTTCCAAAACGTCCCACTTAACCCAAACTTTCACCCCCAGAGTGATCCTAAATCCAAGATTAAGGATTCCAACTCTATCGGTTCATCCACAATTCAAATTGTACCAAATTTAGTACACATTAGTAATAATTTTTAAAACTTCCTACATATATCGATCTTACACCCCAACAGTGATCCTGACTCCAAATTTAATGATTCTAGCTCTATTGGTTCGCATAAAATTCAAATTGTACCAAATTTAGTACCATTTAGTACCCATGAATATAAATTACTGAAACTGGGTAAAAAGAATTCCAAAACTACGTACATTCCCAATTCTGCACTCCGACGGTAATGTTAATTTCAAATTTCAGGACTCCAGCTCCATTTGTATCTCCAAATTGAATTTGTACCAAATATAGTATCATATAGTACCTTTCGTACACATGAGTACACGCTTTCAAAACCATCTCCTTAAATAGACTCTACATCTCATCCCTAAGTCGCATTCCAAATTTCAAGTTTTTAGCTCCATCAATTCACATTCTACGAAATTGTACAAAATTAAGTACATTTTAGTACTTTTCGGATATTTATAGTTCGAATTTCCAAAAACCCGTTGGTACATCTATCCTACACTCAGCGACCACCAATCCAAATTTCAGAGTTCTAGCTCTACCGGTTCGCCAAATACAAATGGTATCACATTTAGTACTTTTTAGTACTTTTCGTACCGTCCTAGTACGAATTTCCAAAAACGCTTTTGTACATCTTCCTAACTTTACATCAGTGACCCACATTCAAAATTTCAGAATTCTAGCTCTTCACGTTCGCCTAATACAAAGGGTACCATATTTGGTACATTTTAGTACTTTTCGTACCCTTCTAGTTCGAATTTCCAAAAACCCAGCCTTATCTCACGCCTACACACCAACACCAACCCACACTCAAAATTTCAAGCTTCTAGCTTTAGCCGTTTCGTCTGGGCGATGATCTGTCAGTCACTCACTCACTCACTCACTCACTTAACACTAAGCTCTTTTATATATATAGATAGATTACCGAAGTGCTGAAGCGTATCATATAGTCGGCCCAGTCCGACTTTACTACTTTCCTTACTGGTTTTAATCTTAGTTCGTGGCCAAAAATAGGCGATTTTCCAAAAAAAAAAAATCAAAGTTCCGTCAGGTATTAAACAAAAATATACCTCACATTCATATCGGTAATATTGCCAAAGGCACCATATCCCAAAAATGGTAATATTTCAAGAAATATGAATCCAAATATTTTCAAATGTCATGGAAATGTGAAATATTGCCATGCCTTTTTAGGTTACCTCATGACGTAAATTTACCGAAAATGCAGATACACATTCCACCTCTTTTGAGCCCCTCTATCATATTTTTTAGAATTTCGCGATAATTTTGTTTTTGTGTTTTTAATAATAATTAAAAATCCAGGTTATTTCTTTTTTTAAATCTAAAATTTATAATTTTAGATTCTATTATTTATTTTTTCCCATTGTCATCAAATCATTCACATTTATCTATATTAATTAAAATTCGCATTTAAAAAGCAGCCTTGAAGGAATGGAAACATTGGAAGGTCTTGTAACCGGTTTCACAACGATCTTCAGCCTTGATGCCCTTGCATTTTTCCAAAACAGTCTTGGCCTTTTCCTCACCAACCAAAGCGCCCAATTTAGCAATGACAACATCGTCTTGGAGTTCATCATTTTTCAAGGTACCGGCACGTTCAAAGAAACATGTTCCCAAACATTTGAAAGCCTTGGAGGGATTTTCAACATCCTTGTTGCGGAATTTCATAACATCTTCTTCGGGAACATTTTCCTGTTTGGCACATTCTTCGATGTAGACCTTAGCCTTGGCCTTTTGTTCTTCGGACAATTCAAGGGGCTAAATGTGATAAAAAAAAGGAAATTTTGAATTATTTAAAAATTATTATTGTTCGCCTTTAAAAACTTACATTAGCCAAAGCGGAGGCAACCAAGCAAACAACAGCCAAAGTAATGAAAGCCTTCATGATGATTTTTTTGTGGAGGAGGAGATTGTTGTGAAACGCTTGCGTTGATAGTTGTAAATTGTGTGATGTTGTTTGCCGAATTTTCTGGTGTTTTTATAACAAGAAGATTTGTGAAAAGAATTATTAGAAACTATAATAATTCTCAGCAGACAACAGATGTGTGTATGTGTGTGCGTGTTAGACAAGAAAAGAGATACGAAACCCTCAGTCTACTTTTACACCCTTTAATGGCCGATACAATTTGGTAACAGGTTTTTGTCTATATTTTGGCAAAAAGAATAACAATTAACGGATTATTGTTGTATTATGCGACACATATTTTTTTACTGGAACATACTGTCTGGCTTTCTGTCTGGCAATACAATCATGATGATCTATTATAAATCGCTTTTTGCGTAGGAAATAAATTTGGGCTTTGAATTCGATTAGTATTGCCCTTATATTATTATATTCTCCACCACACTGTGGAGTGTATATTAAATTTGTCACCTCGAATTATTCACCTTAGAACCGATTAAGTATACGTTTATATTCTTGATCCAAGTAAAAATTTTATGCGGTTTTAGGCATGCCCGTCCTTCCGCCTGCCTCGCAATATTCACCAGAGAGCTTTACAATTTTGCAAATATATTGATATAACACCCAAGGCTTTTGTAAATATATTGATATAACACCTCCACCATAGTATGGAGGGTATATTAGATTTGTTTTTCCGTTTGTAACGCATCGAAATAAAAATTTCCGACCCTATAAAGTATATATATTCTTGATCAGCGTAAAATTCTATGACGATCTAAGCATGTCCGACTGTCTGTATGTTGTAATCACTCTAGCGTCTAAACGAATTCAGATAGAACGCCACAATTTTGCACAGAGTCGTCTGTTGTCTGCAGGCAGGTCAAGTTCGAAGATGGGCTATATCGGTCCACGTTTAGGCATAGCTCCCATATAAGGGTACCTCCCAATTTTCGGTATTTTGAAGTTCTTGAGCGTGTTTTTCAGCCGAATTCGCTGAAATTTGCTACATTGGGTTCTTATTGGGTACTAAATGTCTCCACAAAAAATTATAAATATAGGTCCACTTTTTCTGGTAGCCCCAATATAAGGGTAACTCTCCATTTCCAGTTTTTGGGGGGTTTTGACCGGATTTTTTTTCACCGAATTCGCTGAAATTTAGTATTTCAAGTTCTTATTGGGTAGTAAATCTCCCCACTAAAAATTATAAATATAGGTTCATTTTTTCGGGTAGCCCTCATATAAGGGTACCCCCAATTTTCAGTATTTTGAGGTTCTTGAGCGCGTTTTTCAACCGAATTCGCTGAAATTTGGTACCTTGGGTTCTTATTGGGTATCAAATCTCCCCACTAAAAATTATAAATATAGGTCCACTTTTTCTGGTAGCCCCCATATAACGGTACCTCCCAATTTCCAGTTTTTGGGGCGTTTTGATCGGATTTTTTCACCTAATTGGCTGTAATTTAGTAATTTGAGTTGTTATTGGGTAGCAAATCTCTTCACAAAAAATTATAAATATAGGTCCATTTTTTCGGGTAGCCCCCATATAAGGGTACCCCCCATTTTCGATATTTTGAGGTTCTTGAAATATATAGTCAGACATTTAGGCATATCCTCAATATAGTGATACCTCCTGAAGGAAAGAATTGAGATAAACAATTAAAATATTCGGTTCAAAATTGGCATATACCGGTCATTAATTAGGCATAGCCCTCATATAATGATATCCCCAAATATTCACTATTTCCTACACTATGTAATCAATATTGGTCCCCCTTTAGGTATATACTCATATAACTTTGTAATCTAAATTACAGTAGTTTGAGGATTTTATACTCTACCATGCGTTATCAATATCAGTCCACTTTTTGGATCTTACAGATTTTAGGAAAAATCCCCATTAAAAATTGCTGAAGTTTGTATTTGATGCACATAATGGTTTACATAAATCGGTTTGTAGAATTATCGGTATATGCCCACTTTTTGGTATGTTCCCTATATTTTCATTGCATGTATCTGTCAGTATAATTATGGTGGAGGGTATCCAAAGTTCGGCCCCGGCGAACTTAACGCTTTTTCACTTGTTGGTATTAAAAATTAAATTTATCAGCCCACTTTTTTAGGGTAGCCCTCAAATAAGGGTAACCCCCAAATATTAGGTATTTTGGGAATTTGTTGCGTGTTTTTGAACCGAATTCACGCCAATCTGATATTCTGAGTTGTCATTGGGTTACAAATCTACCCACTAAAAATTATCAATATTGGTCCCAATATTTAGGTACAGCCACATAGCACAGTACGCCCAAAAATTATTGGTATTTTGAAACCCTGCGGCACCGGTTTTAACCTAATCGTCTATTTTTTAGTACTTTGGTTTCTCTTTGGGTAGTAAATCTTCCTTTCGAAAATTATCAATATTAATCCATTTTTTAGGGTAGAACCTATATAACGCTACATTCCGAATTTATGTGTTTGAAAGAGTTTGGGTATGTGTTTCAACCAAATTGACGTTATATTTTGGGTTTTCATTGAGTAGAAAATCTCCTTTCAAAAAAAAAAAAATCAGTTTTGGCCTAAGTTTCTCTCCTCCTCGTTTATTTGGCTCTAATTTAATTTTTAGGTTCTTATGGGATGCCAAATCTTCCTACAAAAATGTTTCAATATCGGCTAATGTTTTGGGGCAGTATGTCGGAGGCTTTATTCTCATTTCTCCCACATATATGATTGTAATTTTGTATAAAAGGTTCGTGATTCTCAAAAGGGTCCAATTTTTAACATATCCTCCATATATTCTTGATCAGAGTAAAATTCTAAGACAATTTAGCCATGTCCTTCCGTCCGTCCGTCTGTTGTAATCACGCTATATTCTGAAGGAATTGAGTTAGGGTGCTGAAATTTTGTATAGGTTTGTTTTTCAACCGAATTCGCTGAAATTCAGCAAGTTGGGTTCTTATTAGGTGGGCTTGATTTCTGTTGAGATTTTTACTTGAAATTGAAATTTTGAAATTTTTAAGGGACTTTCTTGAATAAGTGAAATTCAAATTTTTGAAACCACTCTCTTATAGTTTCGGTTTTATTAGGGTTAGGTTGTATTAGTTTCATACATATGATGTTTCACATCCTTTGATACCCAAAAATTTTCAAATGAACTCCAATTCAGTAGGAAAATTGGGCTAAAGTTTTCAGCAATACCGAACATGGAACAATTGAAACACATGGGTCAACGCAGAATATTTTTGCACATCCCCCAAGGAATTTTTTGCTTAGGCCAGATGTGTTTATTCCATTTCAAAATAATAAACTTGGACTTTCAGTCCTTCAATTGCATTACAAATACAAAAATTTCCATATTATGTTGTACCTTTTTTAACGAAGCTTCTAGGTCAATTTTCTTTAATCCCTAACATCAATAATTATACACACCTAACTAATGTATGTGTTGGAATATTAAGCAAGACAAAATTTCTTTTTGCTTTAAAAAATATTATGGAAAATAATATTAGGTCAGTAACAATCGAATTCAAAGCCCTGATTTATTTCCTACGCAAAAAAAAACGTTTTATAATAGATCATCATGATTGCCAGACAGAAAGCCAGACAGTACTTAATATTAAAAAAAATAATAATAACATGTGTTACAAAAAACAAAACAACGCTTTTTATTCAATTTGCCAAAATGTCGAAGAAACCGGTTACCAAATTTTATTGGCCATTAAAGGGTGTAAAAGTCGAGTGTGTGGTTTTTGGTGTTTTCTTGTCTAACAAACACATCTGGTGAGAACTATTATAATTTCTAATACTTATTTTCACAAATCTTCTTGTTATAAAAAGCCCAGAGAATTAGACAATGAGCATCACACAACTTACAACTATCAACGCAAGCGTTTCAAAACAATCTGCTCTACAAAAAAATCATCATGAAGGCTTTCATTACTTTGGCTGTTGTTTGCTTTGTTGCCTCCGCTTTGGCTAATGTAAGTTTTTTAATGAAGGGAACCAAGGATAGTTATAAAATATATTAATTTAATTGTTTCTCTTATATAGCCCCTTGAATTGTCCGAAGAACAAAGAGCCAAGGCTAAGGTCTACATCGAAGAGTGTGCCAAACAGGAAAATGTCCCCGAAGAGGATGTTATGAAATTCCGCAACAAGGATATTGAAAACCCCTCCAAGGCTTTCAAATGTTTGGGAACATGTTTCTTTGAACGTGCCGGTACCTTGAAAAATGATGAACTCCAAGACGATGTTGTCATTGCTAAATTGGGCGCTTTGGTTGGTGAGGAAAAGGCCAAGACTGTTTTGGAAAAATGCAAGGGCATCAAGGCTGAAGATCGTTGTGAAACCGGTTACAAGACCTTCCAATGTTTCCATTCCTTCAAGGCTGCTTTTTAAGGGAGCTTAAATCGATTTAGAGAGATTTTAGGGATAAGTGATTGGAAAATAATAAAAAATAAAACTTAAAAATCTAAAATTATAAATTTTAGATTAAAAAAACCCAAAACATGTTTTTAATTGTTACAATAATAACTCAATCGTACTTGAATCATTAATTTTCAAAGCATTTTAGGTTCTGACACAAACCTTGGTTTTCTAGAAATGTTTACAAAATACATTAAATTATAAAGGCCTTAAAATGGCTTTTTAGACCAAAAAAAAAAAAAAAAAATCAAATGCGTTTTTTAGGCGTTAGAAGCGTTTAAAGGCCTTAAAATGCCTTTTTAGACCACAGAAAATTAAAATGCGTTTTTTAGGCGTTAGAAGCGTTTAAAGGCCTTAAAATGCCTTTTTAGACCACAGAAAATTAAAATGCGTTTTCTAGGCGTTAGAAGCGTTTAAAGGTCTTAAAATGCCTTTTTAGACCACAGAAAATTAAAATGCGTTTTCTAGGCGTTAGAAGCGTTTAAAGGCCTTAAAATGCCTTTTAGACCACAGAAAATTAAAATGCGTTTTTTAGCCGTTAGAAGAAGCGTTTAAAGGCCTTAAAATGGCTTTTTAGACCACAGAAAATTAAAATGCGTTTTTTAGCC